AAAATAAAAAATTGCATTGGTACTAAAAGTTTAAATCGTGATCATAGTCGTCGAAAGATTGAACTTATTTAATAAGTTATAATTAGCTCATTTAATTATTTTGTTTCTTAGCACTAGATTTAAAGTTTTTATTTCTTTTTTTTTTGTTGGAGTTTGTCCAACCCAACTTATAAATTTGTAACGTCCCGTTGTTTTTATATGAAAAACTAAAAAATTAGAGTTCATTTTTTCGCATATCATTTAACATTTTAAAAAATTTTAACGGGCATTACACATTTCTGATTTGATTTATTAGCTTAAGTGTTGAGTCCGGCCCAATTATAGTGGGCTTGGATTAAATAAGGGCCAAAGGCCCATTCTCTTTAATAAAAAGAATAAAAAAAAAATCTGCTTGGCATAACCTACTGTGCGCAGCAACTGTAGAAGAAAAAGAAACAAAAAAAGTTTATACACTCATCTTTTTCATTCCCGCAACTACACTGTGTAGTCATAGGAAATCGCCGATTCCCGGCGATTGCACCGTTGGATCGTCACCAAATTTGGACAGCAGGTTCATAACTTCTTACTCTTTGTTTTGAACGATGGAGATCGGGTTTTGAGCACGTTAGGTCTGTCTGTTCGTATCTGACGTGAAGGGGATATTTGTAGTATTTTGTTGATTTGTTTCTTGTGGTTTACCAAGATCTTGTGTTGTGATCTTGAGAATTGTTGTTAGCCTCTAGTTTGGTGAACTAGAGAGGATTTGGTTGTACCCATTATCGGATTGAATAGTGGATGATTTAAGCGGCTTAGGGGTCCCTGGTTTTTTACCCAATTCGGGGTTTTCCACGCTAAAAATCTTGTGTCATTCTATTGCTTGCTTTATCATCGTTGGTTTCCTATTGCTTGTGGTTATTGTTGTTGTTGATTGGACTTGGTGCTTGTTATTCAGTTAAAGTCATTATTGTATTTGGTGTCTTTAACCACAACAAAGTGGTATCAGAGAGCCAGGTTGGTTCGTGTGCCTTGTCCAAATCATGGAGACTAACACAAGACGGATGGTTACCTTGAATGGGTCCAATTATCATGTGTGGAAAAGGAAGATGGAAGATCTCTTGTACGTGAAGGATTATTATTTGCCCGTGTTTACCGATGAGAAGCCGTCGGATAAAACTGATAAAGAATGGGAGCTTTGTCACCGTCAGGTGTGTGGCTACATTAGGCAATGGGTAGATGATAATGTCCTCAACCACGTTAGTGAAGAAAAGCATGCACGGAACTTGTGGAATAAACTCGAAGAGTTGTATGTGCGAAAAACCGGGAACAACAAGTTTTTTAATCAAGGAGATGATGGCTTTGAAGTACCAGGATGGAAAAGACTATGTCAGACCACTTGAACACATTCCAAGGAATCATTAATCAACTGGCTGGAATGAATATCAAGTTTGACGATGAAATACAAGGGTTGTGGCTTCTTGGTACTTTACCAGACTCGTGGGAGACATTCAGAACATCTTTGTCTAACTCAGCCCCGAATGGAATTTGCTCCATGGATATGGTGAAGAGAAATGTCCTGAACGAAGAGATGAGAAGAAAATCACAGGGTTCTTCTTCACAGACGGATGTCTTATTCGTTGAAAGGCGGGGGAGAAGTAAAAGCAAGGGTCCGATTGATAGAAATCTAAGTATAAGCAAGTCTGGAAGGTATGCCAACCTTGAGTGTCACCATTGTGGCAAAAAAGGACACATCAAGAGGTATTGCAGAAAGTTTCTCAAGGAGAATCCGAATGACAAAGGCAAAGAAAAGAAGGCTGAAGATGGTGAAGACGGTGAGAAGGTAGCGACGGCTACTAATGATTTTCTTATCATTTATGAAGGCGATGCCGTCAATGTCGCTTGTCAGGAGACTAGTTGGGTGATCGATAGCGGTGCTTCAATTCATGTCACATCGCGAAGGGATTTCTTCAGGTCCTACACTCCCGGTGACTTCAGAAGTGTTAGGATGGAAAATGATGGTATTGCTAAGGCAGTTGGCATGGGAGACGTGCACTTGGAGACTGAAAATGGCAACACCTTAGTTTTGAGAGGTGTGAAGCATGTTCCCAACATTCGCATGAATTTGATATCTACCGGCAAGCTCGATGATGAAGGGTTTTGTAACACCTTTCGAGACAGAAAGTGGAAACTCACGAAGGGATCCTTGATTGTGGCGAGAGGGCAAAAGTATTCTTCATTGTACGTGATGAACGTGAAGATTGTGGATCCTATGATCAATGCGGTGGATGATGAACGCACTGTGGAACTTTGGCACAACCGACTTAGCCACATGAGCGAGAAGGGTTTGATAGTGTTGGCCAAGAAGAATCTCCTCCCAGGTGTGAAAACGGGTTTGTGAAGAAGTGTGCTCATTGCTTGGCGGGGAAGCAAACAAGAGTTGCCTTCAAGAGAGTTCCCCACCCACGCAAAACAGGTATTTTGGATATGGTCCACTCTGATATATGTGGTCCAATGAAGACGAGAACACTTTGTGGTGCCTTGTACTTTGTGACTTTCATCGAAGATCATTCAAGGAAGATTTGGGTGTATATGTTGAAGTCAAAAGATCAAGTTGTAGACGTCTTCAAGCAGTTTCATGCTCGTGTGGAACGAGAAATAGATGTGAAGCTTAAGTGCATCCGAACAGATAATGGAGGTGAATACTGCGGCCCGTTTAATGAGTATTGTAGGCAGTAGGGTATTCGACACCAAACCACACCTCCGAAGACTCCACAATTGAACGGGTTAGCTGAGAGGACGAACCAGACACTAGTTGAGAGGGTGAGATGTTTGCTTTCGCAGTCACAGTTACCGAGGTTCTCTTGGGGTGAAGCCTTGAGTACAGTGGTGCATGTTTTGAATCTTACTCCATGTGTTCCATTGAATTTTGAGGTTCCAGACAGTATGTGGTCGGGAAAGGAAGTTTCGTACGATCACTTGCGTGTTTTTGGATGCAAGGCCTTTGTTCATATTCCGAAGGATGAGAGGTCGAAGCTTGACATGAAAACAAGGCCATGTGTGTTCGTCGGTTATGGCCATGATGAGTTTGGATACAGGTTCTATGACCCAGTGCAGAAAAAGCCTATAAGAAGTCGAGATGCAGTGTTCGTAGAAGACCAGAGTATAAAAGACATCGATAAAGCCGAGACGATAGAGAAGTACAACGATGATCTGGTTGATTTAGATCTAGTTCCTATACCTATTGTGTATCCTGATCAAGGGGGAGCGGCGCCGGAGACTGATATTGGTCCTAAAAATGGTGATGTCCCCAATGGTGATGTCCCCACAGTTGATGTTGTTGAGCCAACTGATGAAGTTTAAGAAGGGGTTCAAGAACCACCAGGAGAACCTATTTTGAGGAGATCCAGTCGAGAGTGGCGTCCGTCTACTAGATACTCCTCAAATGAGTATGTGATGATCACCGATGCCGGAGAGCCAGAAACTTACCAAGGGGCGACCTCAGTCGATGAGAAGAAGCTGTGGTTGAAAGCCATGGAAGAAGAGATGGAGTCTCTTCACGAGAACCACACTTATGACTTGGTGAAGTTACCTAAAGGCAAGAAAGCGCTCAAAAACAGATGGGTCTATAAATTGAAGATCGAAAATGCTAGCTTGCAGCCACGATTCAAGGCACGATTGGTTGTGAAGGGGTACGGTCAGAAAAAAGGAATCGACTTTGAAGAGATATTCTCACCGGTGGTGAAGATATCCTCGATTCGAGTTGCTCTTGGTTTAGCGTCGCGATTGAACTTGGAGATTGAGCAACTTGATGTGAAAACTGCGTTTCTTCCTGGCGACTTGGACAAATAAATTTATATGGAGCAGCCTGAGGGATTTCTAGTTAAAGGCAAAGAGAATCTTGCGTGCAGATTGAAGAAGAGCTTGTATGGTCTTAAACAAGCTCCGCGGCTGTGGTACAAGAAATTCGACTCCTTCATGGTGAGTCATGGGTATAGCCGGACATCGTCAGACCATTGTGTGTTCGTCAAGAGGTATTCCGATGATGATTTTATTATTCTCCTCTTGTACGTTGACGATATGTTGGTCATAGGCCATGATACTAGCAAGATTGCTTAGTTGAAGAAAGACTTAAGGAAGTCTTTCGCGATGAAAGACTTAGGAGCAGCGAAAAAGATACTCGGTATGAAGATTCTCGTGATAGAAAGAATGGGAGACTATGGTTGTCCCAGGAAGACTACATCGAGAAGGTACTTTAGAAGTTTAACATGAGCAAGGCAAGGGTGGTGAGCTCTTCACTTGCAGGTCACTTTAAGCTCAATTCGGAGCAATGCCCTACAAGTGAAAGAGACAAGGCAGACATGAGTCGAGTTTCTTATGCGTCTGCGGTTGGCAGTTTGATGTATGCCATGGTGTGAACCAGGCCCGATATTACTCATGTTGTTGGAGTAGTTAGTCGTTTTGTCTCCAATCCGGGAAGAGAACATTGGGAAGCCATCAAGTGGATATTGAGATATCTCAGAGGTACCTCAAGAGCATGTTTATGCTTCGGTGGTGGTGATCTTATGCTAGTTGGATATACCGATTCAGATATGGCAGGTGATATTGATTCCAGAAAGTCCATTTCAGGATTTCTGATGACTTTTGCAGGGGGAGTCGTGTCGTGGCAGTCTAAGCTGCAAAAGTGTGTTGCGTTATCTACCACAGAAGCTGAGTACATTGCAATTACAGAAGGTTGCAAAGAGGCTTTGTGGATGAGGAAATTCCTAGAGGAATTGGGGTTACACCAGGAGAAGTATGTTGTGTTCAGTGATAGCCAAAGCGCTATCCACCTCTCTAAGAACTCGTCATTTCACTCGAGGTCCAAATACACTGAAGTGAGGTATCACTGGATTCTAAACGTTCTCGAATCAAAACAATTGCACTTAGCAAAAAGTGCACACGAGTGAGAATGGTGCAGACATGATGACGAAGACTTTGCCGAAAGAGAATCTTGAAGTATGTCGGCGAAGAGCGGGCTTGTTGGAGCCCACCACTTGATCCGGAGGGGGAGTTAGTTGAGTCCTGCCAATTATGGTGGGCTTGGACTAAATAAAGGCCAAAGGCCCATTCTCTTTAATAAAAGGAATAAAAAAAATATGCTTGGCATAACCTATTGTGCGCAGTAACGGTAGAAAAAAAAAAGAACAGAAACAAGTTTATACACTCGTCTTTTTCATTCCCGCAACTGCACTGCGCAGTCACCGGAAATCGCCGATTCCCGGCGATTGCACCGTTGGATCGTCACCAAATTGGGACAGCATGTTCATAACTTCTTACTCTTCGTTTTGAATGGTGTATTTTGGGACAGCAAGTTCATAACTTCTTACTCTTCATTTTGAACGGTGGAGATTGGGTTTTGAGCACGTTAGGTCTGTCTGTTCGTATCTGACGTGAAGGGGATATTTGTAGTGTTTTGTTGATTTGTTTCTTGTGGTTTACCAAGATCTTATGTTGTGATCTTGAGGATTGTTGTTAGCCTCTAGTTTGGTGAACTAGAAAGGATTTGGTTGTAGGCATTATTGGATTGAATAGTGGATGATTTAAGCGGCCTACGGGTCCCGTGGTTTTTTACCCAATTCGGGGTTTTCCACGCTAAAAATCTTGTGTCATTCTATCGCTTGCTTGATCATCGTTGGTTTCTTATTGCTTGTGGTTATTGTTGTTGTTGATTGGACTTGGTTCTTGTTATTCGGTTAAAGTCATTATTTTATTTGATGTCTTTAACCACAACATTAAGTTCCAACTCAAGCTACTTGGAATAAACCATCCCAAAGCACACTTGGCAGATTTATAAAACCGAACATATATAGCATGCTGATCAATAAATTCAAAACAAGATCAAATAAATAGTTAAATACCAATATCACCTCATGCATCACAATCCAGTTCATAATCTAATCCAGAAATCGTATCCCAATATCCAAAACAATAATATGAGGCTTGGAAAACGATAACAAATAGCGGAAGCATGAATAGTCAATAAATAACAAGCAAATATGACCCCGCTCGCCCGTCTTTCGCCGCTACCACCAGCATAACCTGAAAGTGGAAAAATAATGGGGGTGAGCAAACCAACTAGCTCACCATGGGAATACCATGCAATCTAATTCAATATAATGACTTAAAATCATATTCGCAATATGAACCCAAATCATCTAGTCTACCTCATATACCACCCTATGCTCATGTGTACGCATCTAACCGTCAGAGCAACCATCAACGGGGACTAAACCGTATGAAACAACATCAACGGGAGATACACTCTCATTAGACACAAATAGGAGAACGTCTGCAACAACATCAACAGAGATACACTCTCGTAGACTAATGGTTCACATGCATACATTGATTATAAAACCAAGCAATTATAAAGAATAACGAACATAGTAAGTTTTAACAACACCCACCTGATCAGTCAGCGAAAACACAATGATCAGTAGAAGGTAGACAGATGGCTCGACTCCTCAAACTCCTATATTTAATCAAGATAATATCTAAAAATACTTATCTTGAAAATTTGAGAATTTCAACAGACTTTTATACTTAGTCGAAAATTATCGATTAAGTAGCTCATGGAATTTTGTGGAATTTGCAACTCTCGAATTTTAAGAAAAATAAGAAAAAATTATTTAAAAAGGCTAAAAGCGGGTTCGACCCACAAAACGAGATCATGGTTCGAAGATCGGTCAAACGGCTCAAGAAAATAATTTGAGTTCGTTTGGACCCGGGTGGGCACGGGCTGGCTGGTGCAGGGCGTCGAGTGGCTGTTGGTGGCTTGTCGAAGCTGCAGGGGTGTGGGCTGGTTGTTGGGGTCGTTGGGCACAAGGTGGTGGTTGCTAAACGGGTGCGTGAGCGTGGGGCTGCACGTTTGGAGCTGCGAACATTGTCTGACACGCTGCGGGGTTTTTGGTGTGCGCATAGGAAGGACGCGAGAGCTATTATGGGTGCGGCTGCCTGTGGCTGCGGCCAGACAACTGGTCAGAAAATAAGGCCTCGTTTTATTAAAAATCTGTACACAACAGGAACTCTCTATGTGCCTTTATTGTTGCGAAAATAGAGCCTCGTTTTATTGAAAATGAGCCTTGATTTAATCTCTGAACCATTGTCGTGTTGTCGTTCAATCTTATGTTGTTTGAGCCTTGAAAACCCTTTGTGAGACCCTTGTAATGGTTGTTGTTTCATAGCTATTTTTACCCTATAAAATGCAGTCTAATAATTTCAAACTCTTCTTGTGATATGAAGTTCAGTCTCTTAGGTTCCATCTAGAACAATAACCAAGCGATTATCATTGCTATAATGAAAATTATGTCGAAAGTGTGTCGTTACGCAGTTAGTCCCTTTTAAAACCATGGTTGTACATGTTTGTAATTCCCTTGCTGTTTTGGGCACCGTCTTTTAGCCGAACATTTGTAATGTCTAAACATGAATCGTAGATTTGTCTCTTATGTTTCGAAGAGCAAAAATATCTTTAAAATATCATTTTGTATAAAATGTTACGTTCGAAATACGATCACTGCGCGAGCAGTTTTTCTGTAGAGTTGGTTGCAGTTTGTGGCTTAAGTTTGATCAATTTTTAACCCTTTAACTTGATCGTTTACATTCGAAGTCTTCACGAGAAATTTACTTCTGTCTCTTGACTTTCCGTATTTTTAAAAATCAGTCCAAATTTGTTTTCTACATCAAAAGTTATATTCAAAATAAATTGATTGCGCATAAAAGAGTTGTCCAATTCCCAACAACTTAGTTTTTAGGTTTTCAGTCGTTCGTTTTTGAATCGTTCGACTAGTTTTTGAGCCGAACCTTATGTTTTAGCCTCGTGACCATTTTCCTGAGCCTTGTTCCATTAAACTGGGAGTCTCAAATTCCACAAATTTTCAATAAGCTCCTTAATCAATAATTTTGGATAAGTGAGAACTTTCTTTAAATTTTTGACTTATCAAGATAATTTATTTATGAAAATTATCTTGATTAAATGTAGGTTCCTGGGGAGTCAAGCCCTTAAACTTACTGAGTCGTTGTTGTATCATAGATGTCTTATCCGTACAGGTGGATGTTGATAAACCTTACTATCTATTATTTCTTATAGTCATGTGATTCCATAATCTGGGTGAACCACATGTCTCTTGGATTGATCTCCCATGCAATAGTGTGTACATATAAGCATAGGGTAAGTCAGATTGAGTCTCGTACAATAATCTGTACATATGAGCATAGGGTAAGTCGGATTGAGTCCCATACAATAGTTGTTGGAACCCACGAGGATCTCGATATGCACAAATCACAGACAAACATTCAACATAAACCTATGCGCAGCGGATCTA